ACTGCAAGACTGGGTGGGCTCGAACCCTAGCCTCGTGCTTGCGGATGAACCGATTGAGGTAGTAGACAAATTTGTTTACCTGGGTAGCTCTATCAGTCCCGGTGGTCTGGCGAAAGTTGAAATTTTCATCCGGACTGAGAAGGCCAGAGCAGCTTTTGCGAACCTACGTCACCTGTGGCGTAGGCGTGACATCAGCTTATCCCTCAAGGGCTTGGCCACGTGCTGCGTATGCCAGTCGACCGACTTCCTCGAAGGTCTCCTTTCGCACAATCACGTGAAGGGTGGAAGAGAGTCAGAGGCGGTCAAACAATGACTTGGCAGCGAATTATGTAAGCCATTACCAGCAAATTTAGCTGTGCTGGTCATTGCCGTCTTCCTGGATGGGGACCCCGAGACGGGCCACATCAATGGCTAGAGACATTGTCAGATATGGCCCAGTCGCGCCCTCAATGGCGCTCGTGCATCAAAGCTATTGCCTCCAATGCATAGCTCCTTTTCTCACCCCCTCACCACTTAACAGCCCACTAACAGTGCTGGATTTGTGCACCAATTTATCAGCTCCCGCCTGCAACGCGCAGCTAACTACCCCTCCCCCCAAAGCATTGGTGAACGAAACTGCGGCAGCTGCAACCACAGTACGACGAGTACGCGGTTATTACAGCTGACAATGATGCTGATGATGATTTGTCGGTATCATAAATTGACGAAGTAACGTCTGTAGGACTTACATGTTGTGGTGTCTGCCAAGGCTGTATCAACCGGTGGATCAGAGCCCTCCTTTAATATTCTACAGAGACTAAAGTTAACATTCTGGTAATCATGAAGTTAGTATGTGTTTTGTAAGTCCCCCCTGTATTAAGCATCTCCCCAAGTTGCTGGAACAAGGCAAAACCTGTTGTCATTTGAATCTTGGTATAGACAACCCAGCCAAAAGTCAATGAATTTACCAGATTTTAAATTTTCATGTCGTTTTCCAAACAAATAGTGGTTGTTGATTCAAAAACACGTAAATGGTTTGAACTCAATGAGTTTGACTTTGCAATTAAAACTTTTGTATATCAAGTTTGAAATAACGGGGGAGGCCCGAGGATGTATACCAGCTGTGAAAACTCACACGGTTGGAGAAGCTAAGAATGATACAACAGAATATTAAGTTACCTATAAAAGTGAGCTCCTTGGTCCAATAACAATTTACCCAAATTTTAAGGGCCTACATATTTTGTCGTTATTTGTGTGTTACCCCAAGTTTTGCATGAAACAGCGGGCAAAGAGACAGGGGTAAACAGTAAACAAATCCAGCAGACACTTCCACTGACAATTTGAATACAGCTCAATCAAATGCCAGATGCTGCTTTTAAATCTATAAATCACGACAATTTTGGACACCAAACGCGGGGTAGCTAAATGTTCTCTATGGAAAAAGTTGAGCGTACTGTGTGATGGCAGTATTTTTCCGCGGGAATATTGGGACTGTCATAGTTTCCAAGAAACTAGTTTCTTAACAAATTCACATAAAGAAAACCCAGAGTTTTAAATAGTTTTATGACGAAATTTTAATAATGCCTTCTGATTTTACAACGTTTCAGTACCACTTCAACTTCTTTTAAACTTTAAGTGATGACAAAAAAACCGTATAGCATGTTACACGGGGTTTTCATTGCGTTTATCGTAGGGTAGACTTTTCATCCGGCTTCCTCAAACAACATGAGAATGACCCAAGAAATATTGTAAGCATGAGATCAATTTAGTAACATTGAGGATAGTCACGAAAATGCCCTATGAAATACCCTACTTTTGGTCAATTTTAACTGTACTTGACAATGGATTTCAGCGCGTTTGTGGAAGGACGTCAGTTTCCGTTACAAGGATAAAACATCTTATGTTAAATACAGAGAAATTTAGCCTAACTAGTCTGTTACACTTAAATTCATAATATTTACCGGGAATTTCGCAGTATTGTGTTGCCTGGTTGGTTGATAGTTTGATGTCTACGGCTCAACCCTAGCCTAAATGATCTTCGAATAGGCACACATTGTTTTTGTATGCTGTGGAAAAGCATTCATTTTTCTAAGCCAGCAATTTGCTGAATTCGTCAGATAAGGCTCCACTTAAACTGGGAATTTCAGATAAGAAAATATATCTCAAACCCCGGCATTTGTAGAGAATAACTAGATACATTTTACTTCTGAGGCTTGCGGTCTCATACGGTTATCAATGATTCGTTTTCTTGGAAACATGCTATGTTTTTAGACCACGACTGCATTTCACCTACATTTCAACTTACACGATATTTTGTGGCATCAAACCTGTTATTACGCTTCCCTTTGTAAACATTTTCCAGCATTATTGAATTGTAAGGGAAGAAACTATAAGAATGTACATAAGAAATATGATTTTGCTTGGGCAGCTAAACGAGAAGAAAAATTAGCCTTTCATCGGAGGAGTAGACCATCCATCGATCAAGCAACCAACAAAACATCATATAATTGTTTGTCATTGATCTGTGGCCGGATGTAATTACAGTTAACTGGTCGCTGGAAGGCTACTGATATAGGCCTCTTTAAAGGTACATAAAACGTACACTCCCGGTGAGTCCCAGGAAAGGAAAATCATTTGCACCGTAGTTCTAAACTTTTCAGTGTAGGGTGACCACACAAATACACGAATGCACACAAATACAAACTGAAATGTATTCATGCTTCGGAAATTTATGGTTACTACTTCAGAGAATCGCGCTAACGTTTGTTTATATATATATATATATATATATATATATATATATATATACTTATTCCAGCACTTAGCTACTTAAGGCCCATCCGAATGGCAACACTGTCACTGCAAAGTAACGAAGAAGTTCTGCAACGGCGTCTCAGATCCTT